TATATATAAATAAATATATGTATGTATGTATACATAAATATGTGTACTATGTACATACAGCCTGTTATCAGCATGCCGCCACCGCAGCCGTCGCCGCCGCAGCTTATCGGCCAGAGGCGCAGTCGCTGAGCTAATTCTGCTTCTGCTGGTGCAGTTGCAGTTGGTGGGTTGCCTTGACGCAGCTTTTTTTTTTTTTTTTTTGGAACGCATGAGCTCTTCCAGGCGCTGGGCCACAACAAATAATGCGTATGTGTGTGTGTGTGTAAAGCACACATATGTATGTTGATTTGCTAAGCTTGGAAGGCATCAAGTGCATGGTCAAATGGAAGGGGGAGAGGGAAAGAGATAGAAACATAAATAGACACGGGCAAAGCTAAGCAAATTGCATTTGTTTAACTAATTTTGGTAGTTTGGACCCACCAAAATGTCACGTACACAGTCAAGCACACAGGCACCCACACAGACAGAGTTGCACGCATTTTGCAATACAACAAGGAGGACGGCGACGACGCAACCCTCATTGACAGCAGCGGCACCTTTTGGTGCTGCCAACCCTTGCCATAAAAAGGCATTTGCTGCTCGTCATGCGCAAAGCCAAAAAGCTAAAATACATAACAGGCATTCACAGAAATACATATGTATGTATGTATGTACGATACATATACATACATTCATACATACATATATGTATATGTATGTATGTATACATACAACTCGTATTCGGCTACACGTAACCCGAAAGGACGGTACGCGACCCGAAAAAATGTAATAAAAACAGACGTGCAAAAAGTCAACATCGCTGCTGCTGATGCTACTGGATTGTGAGTTAAGCTGAGCTGTGTAACTGTGTCTCTCTCTCTTGCGTGCCAAAGCTCTGTCGTTGCTATTACTGCTGTAACTGTGCCTCTCTCGCTCTCTCGCTGTTACTGCTGCCTGGGCTAAACGGGTTTTTCGATTTACTGCTCGGTTCTCAAAGTTTGTATATTGTTGTTTTTTCTTTCATTCTTTTGTTTTTTGTTTTTCTCATTCTTTTGTGTTCGTGCGTGCGTGTGTGTGTGTGCGCGCGCAAAACGTCATTAAACTTGTTTTGGTTTTTATTTCTCCTTTGCTGTTTTACGCTATGCGATAACAAGTTGCACACACACTTACACAGATACGCGCGCATACGCAGAACAGCAAACAGTGTAGATAAAATTTGTAGTTAGTATACGGAACGGCGGACTGCAACAGCAACGTTTATCGTACACACACACACTACTTACAATCTATATCTATGTATATGTATATTCATGTACATATGTGTATACATGCCCGAATACTCACCAAATAGAAATGAAAACCAAAATAATGAGAATTTTTCGCGCATGCCGATGCCGTCATCTGCCGCTATACAGTGGGCCCAAGCGTATTTTCATTAATGATCATTTAAGTTTAGTAAAATATTTACTGCTGAGTTGGAGAAAAAAAAAATGTAATTGATAGTTTAATTATTACTTACGTTGTACAGCATTTCGATGGCATTTGTTTTATAATAGTGTTTTGTAAAACGTATTGCAGATCTTATTGACAATCGCATTGACACACTGTGCGTGTTTCTCTGTATACATACATACATCCACACATACGTATGTATGCTTCTTGTTGATTTTAGGTCTTTTTCGTTTTACTTTGCTGCGACCATTTACTGCCTATTGCTTGTATTTACGTTACGTTTGTGCTTTGTATATTATATGTATGCATGTACTAGTGTTTCATTACCAAACTCTGTATGTGTATATGTATCTGTGTGTATACTAAAAATACAACATTGTGGGATACATACAAAATAAGGCTGCACAATATTGATACATACATATATATATATAGACAGATAGATAGATAGATAGATAGATATGTATAAATATAAATATGTATGTATGTATATGTATTCATCAACAGCATCAGCTTTTATAGCCCAGCACATAATGCATACATGCACTGCATACATACACAAATATTTAGGCACACACATAGAACGTGCGAGTTGCTTGCTCCCAGCCGCCCACTTCTCTCACTCTCTCGCTCGCTCTTTCTTTTTTCCTTCCTTCTTCGCGCTTTGTTGTATTCATTCAGCTCTCTTGCAATTGCAGCTTGCATTGAGAGCGCAGACATTTGCGACCATTCCAATGTGTGCATTAGTCACAAATATTTCATTGTGCACACGCTTCTCTCTCTCCCCCTCGCTCTGTGTCTGTCTCGCACTGCCCTATGTAATAATTAGGCACGCTCTCTGTCAATCAGAAGCATCTCATCATCAGCATGCAGTGCAGCACCTTTACCGTTAACACGTGAACAGCAGCATGCAGAGAGAGATATTGCGATGAGAGCACTTGCACTTGTGTGTGTGTGCATGAACCTAGGCAACATCGCAGTCGACGTCGCCACCGCTAGCTCTGCCTGCTGATTAGCTGCATCAGTGCACAGTGTGACCAACCACTACAAGCGCACGTAATACGTGTGAATGAAAGCGACACTGTTCTTGGGTGCATAAATCAAGGAAAAAAGAAAAGAAAAGCAGATTTAATAAAATTTTATATTGGTTAGTCGCAAGCACATGCCCCAATGGATGATAAGCGAGACAATAAAATAGGGTATCATGCCGCGTTGACATATCTTATCTAACGTTCTATCAGCGAGCAGTGCTTATCAGTCGAACAGTGGTGCAGATAAGCAGGTACAGTGGATGTGAAAGTAACTATGTGAAAGCATATTCATTATATATGCAGGAACAGAGATACGATTAAATACAATCAATAAAGCAGAGTTAGCGCTTTGATAATGTAGATTAAACATTGCATTATCAATGATTTATCGATTCCATGGTTCAGACATGGGTATTTGACGTGAGTGCGGGATGAGTGTGGCTCATAGTGTGAGTGTTTATTAAATGTTATATAATTTTTATATATATACTAAATAATTTGTCGCTTTCTCTTAACATAACTAGAAGCAAATCAAAATGTAGCAAATTTCATTGTAAATTTGAGATTTTCAAGCGTTTTCGTTGTAATTCCCAAGCACTTACTGAGCAGATAAGACGATCATGAGTAAAGCACTTATGAGAGCTCCCTTGCGATAAGTGCTATGCCTTTCATGCTATTTATATAAGTTACAATTAAATTAGTTTATTTTGTGTATATATTCTACACATATATAGAACGTGGCTCCACTTTCGTTTGCTTTTGGGTTGGTTGGGTTTTATGCACACAGCTGTTTTTGGGCTCTTATCTTATCGCTAGGTAATTGCCTGCTCCTCATTGAGGCCACTATCTTATCTTATCCATGGCCAACTTTGACTGATAGCGTGTGGTTTATGTACACATATATAATCATTTATATACATATATATATAGATAGATAGGGCTAGTATTTGTTTTSTAGATAGAGGCAGATCACACGACTTAAGTGCTGCTCTATTCTAGGCATATCATTTGTTTATTTTTGATTACTGCTTTCCTCTTCTTTCTGTTCACTGATATGGAAGGAAGGCTTATTATCAACGGAAATCAATGGAGAGATTTGTAGGCTTTTGTACATATATTGAAATAATCTGCTAAAAATACAAAAAGAAAATATAATAATTCTCTAAATACGCACTAATGTTTCATTTTCAATAACAATAGCTGAATAATTTTGCAAATTCTTCAAGATCTAAACATATAGGCTATAAACCATACATAAACTATACATAAACATACATATGAATATACATATGTGTTGGGGTGTGGCCCCATTCATTCATCTAATACAGGCAAATAGTTTTTTCTGTGTTTAAAAATTAACAAATGATTCATGTTTGCGCTGTAGTGTGCAAATATGATGCCAAAAGCAGCAGAAAATAGAAATGAAATGAAATGTAAAAGAATTGTAGCTAAAAATAGATTGGCCCGAAGAACTGAATGTCTACTGCATTCACACTGAAGCAAATTGATTGTTTCCAAGTGAAACTGAAAAGATATTTATTTTAAATTGTATGTAATGCAAATATATGTATATATTTATACATACAAAATAATTAACTGAAATAGTTAAAATATCTATTTTGTAAATATTTTAATTACATACACACAAATGGTTTTCTGCTCACAGTGCACATGGCGCTCAGTGCGGCTCTCTCGCGCGCTCTTTTTGAATGGAGGCGGCAGCGATGCTCTGCACGCATTGCATACATGCCGATGATGCTGCTATACTTTGTTGTCATTGTTGTTGCTGCTGCTGTTGTCATTGTTTATTGTTTTTCTTCTTCTTGCTTATTATTATTATTTTTACACATTTTCGTGCAGAATATAAACAAATGCTATAAATAATCACATTTCATTATTGGTGAGGCCACACACACACACAGCACGCACGACGCTGATGTCGGCGTCGACGTCGACGTCGATACCGACGGAGACGGCAACGCCAACGCACCAAATAGCGATTGTCTGTGCGCGTTTTTTGACTCGCCAATTTAGCAACGTGGCGCAGGAACAGGCAAAAGCAACAACAATAATAACACAGCAACAGTTTCCAATAAATAAACATAACAGCACTCCCGGGGCAGACGGTAGCACTTGGTATGCAGCCCACTGTGCGGCCGCTGACAGCGTCGTCGACATTTGAGCAATGTGCGCGGCCCCGCTAGGCATACAAATTAAAGCCCAGCTCAATTCCAGCGTGCCTCTGGGTTTCTGTTGTTGCTGCTGCTGTTGTTGTATTTTTATTTTTTTGCTTCTTTTTTGTAGCTTTTCAATATCATCATCGGCAGCAAAAGTAAATTGTGGCTACGCGTGCGCGTGCGCTGAATATATTGAAGCTCATTAAAAGCAAAGGAAAAAGTAAAATAAAAGTAATAAAAAAAGTCATGTTAACAGCAACAGTTAACAGAGCAGCGGGACAGAGACGCGACCGCGGCCTGTTAAGTCTTGCGCATGTGCGCACACACATACTTGCTCACATAACTATGCATATTTAATACATATATCTATATATAAATAATATATATAACTATGTACCTATATATAATACATATGTATATATATAAATTACGTTTGTGTGTATGTTAATTGGCGTGACCGCCGCTCGGCAAGTCACGCGGCGGCCGTGCCGGCTGCGTGACGAAAAAACCAAAGCAAACAGTCAAAACAAAACTACAAATATGCTTGCGCATGTGTATGCGTGAGTATATGTGTGTGTGTCGTCGTATCTGGTATACATACACAAAGTGTCTCAGCGTCTCGTCTCGCGTTGCATGCTTGCAGAAAACGAAAAGGAAGAAATAAAAAGTAAAGAAGACAACAAAATATATATAAAAAGCAAAAAAAATAAAAATAAAACCGGCCCAGCCAACTGCCAACTGCATTCTGCACGTTTGCTAGCTCGCTCGGTCGCTGTTGCTGCTCTGCATGCGTCGCTGCCTTGTGACGTATGCGCAGCAGCACCAAAAACTTGTTTCGTTTCAATTCGTGTCGTTTGCTTCGCTGCCTAGCGCTCTGGCACTTTGCCAACTGACGTCGCGTTTGCAAAAAACCAGCTGGTTGAAGATTCTATTGTTGTTGTCATCGTTGTTGTTATTGTGGTGTTCGTGCGCTGCGCTGCGGCACAGTGGGGCCAGCAACCTGCACAGTGTGTTGTGCTGTGACGTCACGTTGCCGCTGTTGTCGCTGCTGGTGAATGAAAATGTTGTCGTTGTCGTCGTTGCTGTTGCTGTTGGCAACATACATACAAAGAAGCACATGCATGTGTTTGTCCGTATGTGTGTGAGTAAACTGTGAAACGTTCCGTGCCAAGTTCTAAAATTACAAATATTGCGCCAAAAAAGAAATGAAACGAATGAAGAGAAGAAAAAACATCTTGCAATGAAAATGATTTCATTTAGTAGTTTTCCTTTTTGATTCATTCGCAATTTAAAAACGAAAGCAGCCTTCATTAAGTAAATGTCGAGCATTTTTATGCATGTCATAGATATGTATGTATGTATGTATGTACATAGTATATATGGGCATGTATGCATAGCTGCATGCTTTGTGAATATGTATGCATGTGTATACAGACGTATGTAAGTAAATATGCACTTGGCTTTTAGTTTAAGATTTTAATGTACAGTAAACTGTCAATAAAACAAACAACTGTTTCATTAAAATGCTTGATAGTCAAATTTAATATTTAATGTATGTCGACTTATACAATGGTTGAGGGTACTCGACGTTGAGGTACTCTATGGTAATGCAGTTGGAAAGTACACATACACACATACATATGTTTGTATACATATTTTTTGTTTATATAGTAGAGATAATTAACTAACTACTATCTGGCTGCCCTGTAAATTTCATTAACAAATTTCATATATGTAGTTGTCTATGGAGCGCAGTCGCTGCTTAAACTACGCAGTAAACAGAGCGCGCTTAGATTTGTATGTATGTATGCATGTATGTATATGTGCGTGTGTGAATAGCATTTAGGGCATATCCTAGTCGAACAGAGCTTTATCCATTTAAAATTTTTTTTTTTTTTTTTTTTTTTTTTTAAATTTACGCCATATTGACTAGGAGACAAAGACAGGAGATCTCTCTGACTTTCTCTTTCCCTTCTATGTCAATTAAGCTCTCTTCCATGTTAACCGTTAAGCTGTAAAGCTTTCTTTCATTTGCCTAGCGCTCTCTAAAAATTGAGTCTCCCTTTTATCAACGGACGAGTCTTTACATATAAGCCTCTCTCTTACTCTTGTTTGCGTATTCTAATTCCCTTTCCATTCGTTCTTCCATTTGCAGAACACTTGTCTCCAGCCAGCCGTCGCAATGGATCGAGCCCGCCATCGGGGCCGATGCCTCCGCGCAGTGTTCACTCGCCGAATAGCTCGGGTAAGTTTTAGCTAACTGTGAATATAAATAAAAATGAAACTAATTGCGTTTCTCTCTTGTTCTCTTGTGCAGGCTCTTCGTCGGGTCGCCGCTCGTCGGGCTCTCGCCATGTATCCAGCACAACGGTCACAAGCAGCGAAGTTGGCGGCTCGAATTCAGTGCAGGCGGCCGCCGTTGCTGCTGGCTTGGGCGCTGGCAGCGGCGCTGGCGGCGTCGCCGGCTCGCTAGGCGGACCGGGCGGCCCGAGCAACTCACAGCTGAGCAGTTGCAGCAGCGCTGGCGCCGGCGGTGGTGGCGGCTCTGCGTCTGGCAATGGCAACGCTGGACCCTCATCGCTGCCACCTAATCCGAACGCCGTTGCTGGCGATGGCAGCGGCGGCAGCGGCGGTGGCGCCATCGGACCGAGTGGCAGCAATGGCAGCGGCGCCGTCAACGCCGGGCCGGGCAGTAGTGGCAGTCAGGGTGCGCCCGGCATGAGCAGCAGCAGCAGCAGCAGCGGCGGCGGTAGCAGTGGCGGCAGCGCGGCTGGCATTAGCGGTGCGCCTGGCAGCAGCGCAGCGCCAAATTCAGCGGCTGCAGCAGCAGCGGCCGCAGCCCAGAATGCGACGCTGAAGTGCACGCTCTGTCAGGAGCGACTCGAGGATACGCACTTCGTCCAATGCCCATCGGTGAACATCCACAAGTTCTGCTTTCCCTGCAGTCGTGAGAGCATTAAGCGACAGAATGTGAGTAGAAAGTGAAAGATAGAGAGCGTGCTACCTCTGTTACGCCAAACTTTAAAAAATATGCTTACTAATGCCATCTCTTTTCATCCCATCATCGCTTACAGGGTCTGGGCAATGAGGTGTATTGCCCAAGTGGGGAACGATGTCCGCTGGCCAATTCCACCATACCGTGGGCCTTCATGCAGGGCGAAATCACCACAATATTAGGCGAGGAGGTGAAGGTTAAAAAGGAGCGAGAATCTTAATGTCCATTTTATTGCAAAAAGCTGCGCAGAGCTTTGGAGCACTTTTGAGCCAGCCAGTGAACAGCGAACAGGAAACAGAAAGAGAGTGAGAGAGAGAGGAAGTTTAATATTGTTCGGCGATCACCGGCTGCACACACACGCAACTCTCTTGACTCTGTCTCGCTCGCTCTCTAACAACAATGCATATGTCTGTCTGTCGCCGACGGCAGCCGAATGCCAATTTTTACATTGAGCGAGACAACAAAAGGAAGAAAACACAAATTTTTTTTTCTGCGGCGGTCGCGACGCCGGCGTCGCAGCTACAACGGGCGAGCGCGCTCTGTCCATGACGACCAACAACAACAACATTTTGTAGGCATAAGCAACAAACGAAACAAAAACAAAAACAAATGCAATTTGTTTGAAAAAGAAAAAAATATTTGTACTTTTAAAGCAAACGAAAAAAGTAAACAAAACACCAAAACAATTTGAAGAAGAGAGCGCAAATGCAAGATGGCAGACATTTTGTAGCGCAAGCAAAGGATTCTTTTTAGCCAAGTGAGAGAGAGAGAGAGAGTGAAAGAGAAGAAGAAGGTGCAGCAAAGAGTAAAATGAATTAATGCAAATGTAACAACAACAAATCACTAAATAACTGAAACAATGAAAGCAAAAACAATTCGATAGGCATTACGTAATATATACATATATAAACATAAATATATATGTAAACTTTTTTTTGATACACTTAAGTTAAGCTACTTTTTTGTTGTTAATTTCCTTTAATTAAAAGAAAATTAAGAGAAAAACAAATGTCTTTAAGCCTACATTAAGTTTTTTTTTTGTGCTAATTCAATAATTTATTTTTGTTCTCTTAACTACATTAAAATATATATGTCTT